GGGACATGGGGACACCACTGGAGCTGGCCCTGGGGCCATGGGGACAGCAGGGGAGGTGGCCCCGAAGGACACAGGGACACCTCTGGGCCATGGGGACACCTCTGGGGACATGGGGACACCACTGGAGGTGGCCCCGAGGGACACAGGGACACCTCGAGGGACATGGGGACACCTCTGGGGCCATGGGGACATCTCTGGGGACACCTCTGGGACATGGGGACACCACTGGAGGTGGCCTCGAGGGACACAGGGACACCTCTGGGGACACCTCTGGGGCCATGGGGACACCACTGGAGGTGGCCCCGAGGGACACAGTGACACCTCTGGGACATGGGGACACCTCTGGAGGTGGCCTCAGGGGACACGTGGTTTCGTCGCCCCTTCCTTTAATCCAACCAACTTTATAAATAACCCCCAGCTGCTGGAAATTTCCTAAATAACTCCCAACTCGGGGATCCCTCCGTCCCCCAGGGCGTGACCCCCGAGCAGGTGACACACGTGGTGGTCACCCACGGCCACTCGGACCACGCCGGCAACCTCAACCTGTTCCCGCGAGCCACGCTGCTGGTGGGCTTCGACCTGAGCCGGGGCCGGGGGCTTTACCTGCCGCAGGGGCTGGCCAGCGGAGCCCCCCTGGAGCTGCACCCCGGCCACCTCCGGGTGATCCCCACGCCCGGTCACACCCGGGCTCACGTGGCCCTGCTGGCCCTGGGCACGCGGCTGGGGACGGTGGCGGTGGCCGGGGACACCTTCGAGCGCAGGGGGGACGCGGAGGAGTGGGGGGCGCTGAGCGAGGACCCCCGGCGGCAGCGGCGCAGCCGGGGCAGGGTGGTGGCCCTGGCCAATGTCATCGTGCCCGGGCACGGGGAGCCCTTCAGGGTGGTCAAGGAGTGGGGGGACGGGGGGAGCGAGGAGGAGGAGGAGGAGGTGGAGGAAGAGGTGGAGGAGAAGGAGGAGAAGGAGGAGGAAGAGGAGGAGGAGGAGGAGAAGAAGGAAGAGGAAAAAGAGGAGGAGGAGGAGGAGGAAGAGGATGAGGAAGAGGAGGAAGAGGAGGAGGAGGAGGAGGAGGAGGATGAAGAGGAGGAGGATGAGGAAGAGGAGGATGAAGAGGAGGAGGAGGAGGATGAAGAGGAGGAGGATGAGGAAGAGGAGGATGAAGAGGAGGAGGTCACACCTGGAGATGAGGATGAGGCTGGAGGAGGTGAGAGCCTTGGGGGTGGCACTGGGGGATGTGGGGACACCCGAAGGGACGTGGGGACACCTGAAGGGACATGGGGACACCTGAAGGGACATGGGGACACCGCTGGAAGGGACGTGGGGACACCGCTGGAGGGGGCCCTGGGGACATGGGGACACCTGAAGGGACGTGAGGACACCTGAAGGGACATGAGGACACCTGAAGGGACATGGGGACACCTGAAGGGACGTGGGGACACCGCTGGAGGGGGCCCTGGGGACATGGGGACACCTGAAGGGACGTGGGGACACCGCTGGAAGGGACGTGGGGACACCGCTGGGGACATGGGGACACACCAGGGGATGTGGGGACACCACTGGAGGTGGCCTCAAGGGATGTGGGGACACCTGAAGGGACATGGGGACACCTCTGGGGACATGGGGACATCATTGGAGGTGGCCCTGAGGGACATGGGGACAGCCCTGGGGACATGGGGACACGGTTGGAGGTGGCCCTGGGGACAGCCCTGGGGACATGGGGACACCTGAAGGGACATGGGGACACTTGGAGGTGGCATCAAGGGATGTGGGGACACCTCTGGGGACATGGGACACACCTGGGGATGTGGGGACATGGTTGGAGGTGGCCCTGAGGGACATGGGGACACTTCTGGGGACATGGGGACAGCCCTGGGGATGTGGGGACAGCCCTGGGGATGTGGGGACAGACCTGGGGACACCTCTGGGGACATGGGGACACCGCTGGAGGTGGCCCTGGGGACATGGGGACACCGCTGGAGGTGGCCCTGGGGACACGGGGACACCATTGGAGGTGGCCCCGAGGGAAGGTGACACCTCGGGGCGTCCCCAGGTGATGAGACCCCTGCAGAGGGACCTCCAAGACCCCCGAGATGCCACCAGACCCCCCCGGGGATGTCCCCAAGAACTCACAGATGCCACCGGACCCCCTCGGTGATGTCCCCAAGGCCCCTGAGATGCCACCAGACCCCCCCCGGGGATGTCCCCAAGACTTTGAAGACCCCCAGGATGTCACCGGCTCCTCTTGAGGATGTCCCCAAGAACTCGAAGACCCCCAAGAGGGGACAGGACCCCCCCGGGGATGTCCCCAAGGCCCCCGAGATGTCCCCAAACCGGAAATAAACCCCGTGACCCCCCCCCGGTGCTGCGTCTGTGTGGGGTGAGCTCATCCCAGTTCATCCCAGTGACCTCCCAGTTCATCCCAGTGACCTCCCAGTTCATCCCAGTGACCTCCCAGTTTATCCCAGTGACCTCCCAGTCCATCCCAGTGACATCCCAGTCCATCCCAGTTCATCCCAGTGACCTCCCAGTCCATCCCAGTCCATCCCAGTGACATCCCAGTCCATCCCAGTTCATCCCAGTGACCTCCCAGTCCATCCCAGTTCATCCCAGTGACCTCCCAGTTCATCCCAGTCCATCCCAGTCCATCCCAGTGACCTCCCAGTTCATCCCAGTCCATCCCAGTCCCATCCCAGTCCCATCCCAGCAACCTCCCAGTTCATCCCAGTGCATCCCAGTGACCTCCCAGTCCATCCCAGTGTCCCACCAGTGTCCCCCAGTATCTCCCAGTTTGCACAGGCCCCGCCCACTCACACGCGGGAACGCGTAAGCCCCGCCCACCCCCACGTGCCCTAAAGCCCCGCCCCCACGTTTTCATCAAGCCCCGCCCGTTTCCAGCAGTGACCACGCCCTCTTTCCAGCCGTGGCCACGCCCCCTTTCCAGCCGTGGCCACGCCCCC